AAAATTCTTGTACTGCTAGTTTGATTCACTTATACTTTAGTTTAACTGTCAAATTAATGTATTTAGTAATTTTCCTGGAAATCATCCGTACCTCTTCAGCAATGGTGCAAGAATGTAGTATTTCTATTTCGAAATCCTAGTATTAACGTATCACTGTTTATTCATTGTGTACACTTTATCAACGAATATAAATGCAACTCTAATCGTTACACGTCTTTGTTCGAAAAACAAGCTTTTGACTTTCGAGTACCATTGAAGGAAAGTATTTCAGAGTCTGTTGCTTTTTGTATTCAACAGATTTTTTCGTACGATTATATGGTATGTCATCGTTCACGGCATGATAATATTTCGGGTAGACAATAGCGTGCGTCGTGAGCATGGAAACGCAAGGACCGTTGTAACCATTGTATTTCATTCTCAACTTGACGGTAACGCCGAGCACAAACAGAAATTGTTCCTTCAAGGCGTAGTAACCACCGGTTACCTTTTTATCCTCTCGGCTAATTCGGAAAGGAATTCAAGAGTGGCGTTATAGGACATTCGAGAGGGACTCTAAATATCAGATTTTATTTTTAGGTATTTAGTAGTTTTCCAGATATTGTAAAATTAATGTGAGATTAAACATTCGTTATATTCAGAAACTTTATTTGTCACTTTGCAAATAAATTACTGAAAAGACATTGTGCATAAATTGATGTAAGCCATATGAAATGTACTGTGTGTTACTATCTTGCTGTCGTCCCGACGGCGACAGAGCGAGTGTCTTATGAACAGCACTGTTTGGACTTAGGACCCATCTGCCTCCTTGCAGCGTGGCTGTTTCGTCGTGTGTTATGAGCACGCCATTCTGCTTCAGCATCTTGAGAATACGCTATACTCATAACATACAATGGAAGTTTGTTGTGTCTTGGTGGTCACTTGGTAAGGGGAATGGAGGGATATTGTTGTGGATGGATGTGAAGTATTCAGCAAGGGCATGTGCTTTTTCTTCGTCCGAGGTGTAAATTTGTCCTTTGTCATTTTGAAGGCTGGGGACTATTGGATTGCAGGGTTTGAACATTTTGTATGTTTTCCATAGTGAATTGTCTTGAGATTTCAGGTTTTTTTAGTCTTCTTTCCCACTCTCTGCTTCTGAGGAGCAGGAGTCTATTTCTAATTTGATGGGTTAAGATGTTTCCTAGGAGTTTATAGTAGGGGATGGTAGTTTTTTGGTATTTCTTTCTAGCCTTTTTTCTTTGTTTGATTAGTCTGTGGAGTTCTTGATCCGGGGAGAGACGGTGAGGATTGCTGGTTGTATCGGTGGCTTTGGCGTAGGCTCCGTTAATTTTGTTCCCTAGATTCTCAATTTCTATGTCTATATCCTGTTTGGAATTGAGTCTGGGAGTTAGTGAGTGTTTATTGCAGATTAGTCTGAATTTATCCCAGTCAGTAGCTGAGATGGCATATAGGATTTTGGGTTTTTTGGTGTCTATGGTTAGATGACGGGCTGGTGGCTGGAGGAGAGGTCGTTTATAGTGGTACATGTTAATTAGTACGGGAGGTTTGTTATAAAGAGGTCAATGAAGGAAGGGTGCTTTCTTGGGGGTTTGCGAGTAGGGGTTTGGAGTGCAACTAGATTTAGGTTGGAGGTGTCGAGGAACTTCTTGAGTTCCCTACCGCTTTGATTAAGGTTGTAATTTCTCCACCAGGTGTGTTTGGCGTTGAGATCGCCTCCTAGGAGGAGTAGATCATTTCTGTTAGTTAGATGAGTTACGACTGTGATGTCGGATTATGTCAGTTTTTGTTTTGGTGGACAGTAAGCAGCTATTCTTATTTTGGGGTAAGATTTGGTACGGTAAAAATGGTTTCTACATTGTTGGGTACTGGTTGGTCCGCGTCTTCATGGGGTATATATTTATGTATGAGTAACGCCACTCCACCTCCTGGGGAATTTATATCTTTTCTGTAAGTTGAATAGTTTTTAATGTTGAGGGATTCCCCTGGTTTGAGTCAGGTTTCTGAGATTAGGGCGATATCTATTGAGTTTTGGTGGAGGAAGTGTTGAAGTTCAGGGGCTTTATTGTTAACGCTGGTTGCGTTCCAGAGGAGTATGTTTTAAATTTTTCTAGGTCGTTAAATCGGATTTTTGTTTTGTTTCCGGAGACTTTCGCATGAAAGCTGTCTCCGAATTCTGTGTTTAATTCCGTTAGGAATTTCTGGTGATCTAGGGTATTATAGTGGATGTATAGTGGAGTTTAATGGGTTATAAATCTATGAATAGGCTATATTGATTATGGGTTGAGACGTTGAAGTTGGGGATAATGTTGGATTTCATTATGAGTATATTACCTGCGTCCCTGTTGCTCAGGGACAGCGACTTGAGTCGCTCCTTTTTCGTGGGGTAGGGCCTTCTCTCATCTCTGATTGATTGTCTTATTCTTAACTTGGATTTGTCATTCGCGGCGTAGGCGGTGGTTGGGCGCTTCAGGCTGGTGCTTGGAGGGCCCTGCATACAGTCTGGGGAGACTTGCGCGGTCCTTTGTGAGGCGCTCCTGAGGTGGTGGGTCCTGTGGGGCCCGATGATTCCTGTTGGCGTTTCTTTCAGCACTTATGGTGATTTCACTGAGTGTTGCGTGAATTTGTGCTCGGAGTAACTCCGGGAGCTCCTACGCGCGCGACGGTCGAGAGTCGAATCTAATATGAGTGAATATCTAATATGATGAATTTCTCAAATGTGAGTGGTGATTTTGAGTGATGATTTTTGACATCCGAGAATGGTTTTGAGTAGGAGATCATGTGGTTTATGATTTTGATAATGTGGTCGATGATTTTCCATCCATGATGTGACATCGTTTTGATACAATTCTGTATGTAGAGATGGAGTAGCTTGCAAGGACCAATCGCAGCGCGGCTCATCCCTTCTCCTAACCGCGCGCGCTCCCATTGGTTGGCTAGTTCTTTCCAGCTGGCAGTATATAAGGCTCTACATGCGGACCACATTTTAAAATTTCGAGAGGCTCTTCATCGTTAACTCTTCTCGTATATCAAATAAACACAATCAACATGTCTGGACGTGGCAAAGGCGGCAAAGTTAAGGGAAAGGCGAAGTCCCGTTCGAACAGAGCTGGTCTTCAATTTCCGGTCGGTCGTATCCATCGACTTTTGAGGAAAGGGAATTATGCTGAACGCGTCGGCGCTGGTGCTCCAGTTTATTTGGCTGCAGTAATGGAGTATTTGGGTGCTGAAGTTTTGGAGTTGGCCGGTAACGCAGCACGTGACAACAAGAAGACGAGAATTATTCCTCGTCATTTACAACTGGCCATCCGTAATGACGAAGAATTGAATAAGTTACTTTCCGGAGTAACGATTGCTCAAGGTGGCGTTTTGCCGAACATTCAGGCAGTTCTTTTGCCGAAAAAGACAGAAAAGAAAGCTTAATCGCAATTTGAAGAACCAAACGGCCCTTTTCAG